AGTTTGAGCGTGGTTTCACCGCCGTTAGCGTTATCTGGTAACAACGTGTTTCGAATTACTTTTAACAAGACCCTTAAAAAGATAAAAGAGCCAACAACAAGACAAAGGTGTAATAAAGAATAATGTTTTGATAAAGAGAAACAATCATATATAGCGTGAGTTAACTAAGATTATGTTATAATTGAGAGAGTAGTGTTCGGGTAGCGACAAGTTGTGAGAGAAAGAGAGCGCTATAGTTAAAATATTTTGGTAAAACCTAGAGGTGTTTGTATACAAATATTTTATTTACAAAAACTGGTTAGTTACATTTGAGTGTGACATTTGACAGCTACTAACAATTTTGCGTAATATGCGCTCTCAAATTTCAATCTCTCCCAACTAGTACGGTACTTCAGTATGCTTATGGCAGAGCATACATTTAACATAAAAAACATTTTATTTTATTTATTTTGTTTTAAAATCTATAAATGTATGCTTCATATTTCTCTCAAGATATATTCTCTCGTCGCATTTTCTCTCTTTTCGGTATGCTTCGTCTCAGTTGAGACCATGTTTGTGTGGCGCGCACACAATTATGTTTCGGGCGCCCTGCCATTAGATATGGGTAACGATTCTCTAATTACTATTATGATAAATGATGTTAAAATTACTTCACGTGTTTTTCACTCTCCACTCTTCTTTGCATTATTCTTTATTTAGCAACCGTGAAATGCATTTTACTAAATTTTTTTTTTTTTTTTGGAATAGTTGATGAGCATATGCCAAGCCAATGTCATTTCAAGCTGAACTTACACGGGTAAATATTTTGTAATTGATACCCATTGTGCGGTGCTCTCTTGTAGGTACATACGTCAAATAAGGTATCATTATAATTGGAAAATTAATGAAAATCTCAAAAATGATGCTATAATTACTATGAAGGTAAAAAGTAATCTTAATAAGAAGACCTTTCAATGACCAGGAGGTCTACTGTAGTAAATGGATCGTCGAACTTGTTGAAATGTCGGCGGTAAAACTTTTTGAAATAAATACAAAACCAAGTGTTGTACTAACGCCTTTCAAATCTTTACTAACTACTACTTTCTGAGGATTCAGTTCACAATTAGTGCATTTATTTATCTTATTATTTTAAATATTTTTTATTTTCAAAGCCGAACCTCTCTAATCAACACCCAGTCTTGGCAAAACCTCTGATCTGTCGCGTCTTAAATTTCTATTATTTCTTTTGACTACTCTCATTAGATTCGTCGTAGGATCAATTCGTTTACCTACTTAACTTTCCGGCATTCTTGGCTTTTAAAATTGCATTTACTTTGAACAAAATCCACCCGAATCAGACCTATCGTATGATCAACATTGAAATCATTATTTATTGTTCATATTTTGTATAGAACAGAACCTATTTTAAGCATACTTATTAGTCCTTAAGAAAAGTATTTCGAGGCATAACTCTCTTGACCGACTAATGATTTCCGAGACGGGAACTTTTCTGTCAATATCAATATGGATCTAAACTGCCTCTACCTCTAGACAAACCAAAACAAAAACATGGAACTAAATTCTAATCCAATTTCGACCAATGCCGAAAAAACAAAGAACTCAGAATGGTAGTCGTCAATGTCTATGGGCGATGGCAAACTCTGTGTGAGTTACGTGTATAAAAATGTATAATAACATCGGCTTCCGGCACAAATAGAAGAAGAGGTGGAAAAACAAGTTTATCGAGTAAACATTTTTTCAGCAATAAGACTCATTTCTGGTTCAATGGGTATATAAACAAGCAAGATTGTTGAGATTTAAGAGCTGTCATTTCATCCACAAAAACGAACGTTTTGGTGTGGTTTTTAGGCCGGTGCACTCATCAGTCTATATTTCTTCAAAAATTATATGAAAACGTAATCGTCAATGGCGACCATTATCGCGCCATGATAACCGACTATTTCATTCCCGAATTTGAAACGTAAAACCTAAGATCTAAGCCCCTTAAGGTATTTAAACCGATCAGTTAATTTTAGAAAACGATCTCGTCCAGTGATAGTTATAATTGGCTGGCGATGAAAACTGAAAAGCAAGAATAGGACAACATTCGATCGCTTTCCGAATATAACCCTTTTACTCGAACTCCTTTTAAAGCCCTCCCAAAATACCAGACCAAATGAAGAGCAACCAACCGCGGCAGAAGCTAATGACGAAGCGGCGGCAATGCAATTCCAAGCGGAGCGAGCAGACACAAGCCAGCCGGCAGCCGAGCAGCTACCCAGCCATTAGCGGACCACGCAACCAAATCAAACAATCAGCGGGGCGCTACATAAATTACAGCATGCATGAGGTTCATACCATATATACAACAATATAAACATATGCAGAGCACATGAAGTATGAATTTCCATATGTGCTCAAGAGGCGAACGACTGAAAGCCTCCGCACAAATTGAAAACGCGCACAAATTTTTTACATTTCATTCAATTTTTCTTTTGCAATTTTATTTTACGCTTTTCTTAGGCACAGCAAAGTAAATCATTTGTGATGGCAGACAACTAAAATCGGATGCAATGTCAAGAGAGAAAAATCCAATTTGCTGCAAATCATACTCGCTGTTGCTTGCTCTCTTCATCTTTTTACCGCTCACCTGAAATCCACTTGCTCGAAGGCGAGTGTCGGAATAGAGCAATAAATGCAAAATACTGTCAACTAACTGTCAGTGAATGTTGTATGACAGTTGCGTCAGATTTACGAGTTTGTTGTGTGACATGACAAGGATTCGAGGATTAGGCTTTAAATTTAATTTGTTTCGCTGTTGGTCGCGTGTTTTGGTACAAATGTGAGTGCATTTGTCATTTACCGGTACCACGTTTAGAGTTCGTCTAGATTTAAAGGGTGGAAATAAGCTTAAAGGGGAGATTATAATGTATGTTATGTTTTTTCATTGAAACACACTGCAAAGAATCATAGTGGTATGTTTTTCCCCTGACCTACTCAAGCGTTGACTCTTTTCCAAATTGGAGAAATAGGAGGGTATTCAAACACCTTCATGTTAGAACATATAAACTCTATATTGTCTCTTAGAAGCTAAAAACTGAATTAAACCAATTTTTTGAAAGTAATAAATCCTATTTTTCCTCCCCAAAATGATTAAGTTATCGGGTTAGCTCACTGTCCAAATCAGACATCAAAACATATAATAGTTTGTTAAAAAAGTCTTGCGTTATTTCTTGCGGTATTTTTATTAAATTTTCAATTGTTCATAAATTTTTTTTGATGACTCATGCCCAGCTCTTGACCGATGCTACGGCTGCTACTATGCCGGTCTCTTTCGAMCARTTCAGCGATTTTATCGCAATTTTCGACGAYAGGCCTTCCGGAGCGTGGCGCATCTTCGACCACCTCTACACCAGAACRAAAACGTTGAAACCATCGTTGTGCGGTGGAAATGGAAACTGTATCGGGTCCATAAACTGCACAAATTTTATTGGCGGCTTGAGATGCATTTTTGCAAAATGTGCCCTATTTTCTCATTATTTTGCTCCATGTTTGCGACGCTATAACTCACGAACGACTTAAAAGAAAGGACAATCAATCAAACACGTGTTAGCGCTTGAAATGAGCTTTCCGAAAAGGTATAGCATGACCCGATGCGATGAATAAAACTAGAACTACACGCTCTCAGCGCCAACTAGCGAAAATACCGCAAGACTTTTTTTGACAACCTAATATAATCATTCATAAAAAGAGTACGAAAATTTTGGTTACCTAAACATAATATAAGATTGAAGATCAACTGCTTTCCACGGAAACCTCCGTAATAAAAAAAATATTATTTTTTTCGCAAATAGTTTCTTTCCATTCCCTTATACTATGTATTGAAAGCTTGGAAGCTTTGAAAGGGCTTGTAAAATTTATGTAACTATTCAATTTCACTGTAGGGATTATTCGAGAATATCCCATCTTTCTGCCACTTTCAAAAGAAGAATCCATTTATATATAGAAAATATCTATTCAGTCGATCTTCAACTGAATAACTGACAGTGATACCTGAAACTAACTCATGCGATCTTCAGGTCTTCAGATGTACTTTAATATGTTCTATTGCTAGGTGAACAGTTGCAGCCTTCCTTTTATAGATTTCCAATAATGATTGTTCTGGAACAAAATTAGCTTAACATGAGATATAATTTGAAAAGTAATATACATATCTCTGACTGAATTTTTCTGTGAGCACAGGAAAAGAATATACAACTGATTTATAACGCTGCTCCATTCTTCTTACAAATTAATTACAAAATATCGCATGATACAAAGTAACAAAAATCGCATGTTATTTCTCAAACTACAAAAAAATCTTCTCATATCTTCAAAAACTAGCCAGTCTTCCCTACCAACTCACCCCTCACTAACGTATTACTCTTCTCAATTACTCTTTCTAATTTATTTTATTATGAACTACTCAGTTGCGCTCTCTCCAAACTACAGGTATAAAAAATTTATAATGCAAAACTAATAATGAGAGCGTGCACTAATTTCCCACAATCGTGCTATGAATGCAGTATATCCGCTCGCTAAACAAGATACCAAAACGCACACGACTCCAACAAACAATGCATTTCTTCTTCCTCCGCTCAAGAGAATCGCACAATTTCACACTCACACTTTGACTTTACCCATGCATCATGCCAACAATCTCAGCTACATATTTTCAGATTATTTTCTTTTCAATTGCTGAGAGCGCGCTCTCATCTACCATACATTTATGTACATACATATCTAAGATAGAGTATCTCATAGAAGCACACATGTATTGTAGTACGTAACCGGTTAGCGAGAGCCGTAAATAACAAACAATTTGGGGAGCGACACTAGCAACTAGCGACGTAAAGATACACCAGCAACAACACCACCAACACACACCACTCGCAGTTGTAAAATTTGTTGGCTTTCCGCTGTGCACTCTACTCGTCGTTTGCACTACAACCTTGCCCACTTTATCTGTGAGCCACTTTAATTCAGTTCATTTCTGACGATCGTGTCGTTTGGTTGATTTGAGTAAATTTACGGAAGTGTGGCCGAACGTGTTGTTGCATAGCGAATGCATTTGCGGTCGAAAACGCACAAGTAACGGAACAATAAATGTTTTCAATGTTGTGCAAGAAGTGTTCGTGTATATAGATTTTGAAACAATAAACTTACGAACTTTTGTGTAACAATGACAAATACTGTGTAACTATGTATATTAAATGGTAAAATGTGAACTACTAATTGATTGGGGCAAAATTGATTTTCGGCTCAACTCGCGCAAAATTCTCGTTACAATCAACCCTGACTACACTCCGTTGGTCCGGTTTTGTTTGGGACAGCCTGGTTATTTTCGTATACACGCGTCGCTGCCATTGTCGTCATTTCGTTACGAATCGTTTTCAACAATTTATTTTCCATAAGTAAATTTGCTATGCTTTGTTAAAATTAGTGAAAAAAACAAAAACAAAACATAAATAGCGWGCAAAAAATCCAAAAGGAACATAGAAAACGCTAAACAATATAAAATAATAAAAACAACAATGAAGAATTAACCAAGAGGCGCAAAGTCAAAGTGCCGGAGTAAAACAGCCCAAAGAGGCTGAGAGAATCATTGTTAGCGGCGAAAAAGCAACAATAACAACAACAGTAAATATGTGCACGCGTATGAGGAAAGCCAGCAAAGCATAAAAGGTAATAATAAATAGTGAAAACGCTAATATTGTTCGAGTTAGAAGTGGAAAAGCGACGTAAAAGTAAAAAAGGAAATCCGAATTTTACGCAGACAGACAAATATTAGTGTGTTTGATGTAATATAGCTTTTGAAAAAAATCGTAAACATTTACTTGTTGTTATTGCTTTCGTTGTCTGTGTTAATGTTAAAAATGTGGCGGCAATGCGTTGGCAGGTGATCGATGATGTTGACGGCGTCAGCGTAGGCACTGGGGCAGACGGTAAACGGCGCAAGCTGCACCTAAAAAGAATGCAAACAGCACGTTTAATTTTCAAGAACATAAAAAATAATAATTGTGTTACTATAAAGTAATAAAAAACAGTATCGACGCTTTCCTGTACAATACTTTACATAAAGAAATTACTAAAAAACAAAATAAAAAAAAATTTTAAAAGTAACGAATAATCAGCGAAATCATAAAAAAAATAAATCGTGTACTGCAACAATTTTTTGTGCTCAAAGTTTGTTGTCAAGTTGTGCTATTGTTTACTATTCACTTTCCAAATATTTTGGTTCTGTGATAACTGTGTGCCAAATTTATTAAAATTTTACTATTTTTGTTTCATACAAAAATATTCTTGAAATTTTAACTTTTTTCTTACAACTTTTGGATAATTCGAATAACTGCTGAAAACCCCAAAGGTATGTTGAGCAATTTCTAAGACGTTAAAATTAAATACGTTAAACGTTATTATAAGTTTTTAAAATATATGTACAATATATATTTGGCCCTGCGTTGAACCAAACAAAGCAACCAAAAGGAGTCTAAGAGATTATAAACAAGAAAAACACCACAGCACAACCCCTCACAAATAAAAAAGATTTCCACTCGCGCACTTAGTTTTTTTGGTCATTTCGTATGACAGTTTCCTGACAAATTAACGGTTCCTTAAGGAGAAAAGAACGTGCGCACAATTTCAGATTGATATCTCAAAAATTTGAGAACTAGTTAGAGCATGTAAAGGCGAACTTGATTAATTTCCTTTCCTTCTGAGACTTACAGATGTCCTGGCAAACTTGATATAATAGGTTGTCAAAAAAGTCTTGCGGTATCTCTTCCGGTATTTTTATTGAATTTTCAATTGCTCATAAAATTTTTTTGATGACTTATGCCCAGCTCTTGACCGATGCTACGGCCGCTACTATGCCGGTCTCTTTCGACCAATTCAGCGATTTTATCGCAATTTTCGACGACAGGCCTTCTGGAGCGTGGCGCACCACCTCTACACCAGAACGAAAACGTTGAAACCATCGTTGTGTGGTGGAAATGGAAACTGTATCGGGTCCATAAATTGCACAAATTTTATTGGCGGCTTGATTTGCATTTTTGCAAAATGTGCCGTATTTTCTCTTCATTTTGCTCCATGTTTGCGACGCTATAACTCACGAATGACTTAAAAGAAABRACAATCAATCAAACACGTGTTAGCGCTTGAAATGAGCTTTCCAAAAAGGTATAGCATGACCCGATGCGACGAATAAAACTAGAACTACGCACAGTCAGCGCCAAGTAGCGAAAATACCGCAAGACTTTTTTGACAACCTAATACTTCTTCAGGGTATTGCCAGAGATTTTTAAATTTTGTTGCTTCTTTATTATCCGACAGCACAATAAGATATCAAAATTTAATTTTAATTAAACGATTATATTTCTACAAATAGTACATTATAACAAATTGAGGGAATGGCTTAAAAAATGGATTTCGAGGCAGTTAATTGTCTTTGTATCATTACCTATTCAAGTAAATTGAAACGCATATAATATTGCTATAATTGTGCAGATTTTTAACCAGATTGTCGATTGGAACTGAAGCAGTCCTCTTATCGAATTTTTATTTTTTTTTTTATTTTTATTTTTTTTTTTTAACTTTTGATTCATCTCTTGTGCATCCAACGTAACACGCATACTTTGTTGAAAACCCTAAATTTGTGAATGCAATTTGGATAGTATAATGGATGCTTTAAATGAAATCATACGATGAAACATCAGAACAGAATCAGAAAAAAGTATACTTCTTTTTGTCGATTTTTTTTTTTTTTTTTTT